TCCGGTTTTCCCGAGAAATCGGGACGGACGGGAGGTACTTTATTTTATTTTTTATCTTGCATGTATGGATGTATGGCAGGTGTTCGCAACCCTTAAACATGCCTTTTTATTCTCTTTTCTTTTTTGAAGCCATTTTGCACAGAGTGAGATAAATCCATGTGGTGCAGATGAATCGTCAGCCTCAAAGAACATCTTGCAGGGCTTTGCCCAAAGCCCATTTTTTCGCCTATTCGGCTTTTCGCTTAGCTAAAAATACATCAGATTCGGCTGCAAAATCAGCTGATGGTTCAAAAATGGGCTCCAAAATTGGAATAACTATATTGGAAAATCAGCTAAAAGAATTGTTGGCATATTGGCTTCAAAATTGGTAATATATTGTAAAACCGGAAAGTCCAACGAGTCACAAAGTCTAACGTTTTAACGACCGACTATTTTTCGTTATTTGAAAAAAACGTTATCGCTAGATGTCTGTATAAAGATGCGGATACAGATGGGTGGCCAGGTACTGGCAGGTAGCCATCGTTAAACTTTCTGCACGTAATCATGCCAAAATTGCAGAAATGTTAAACTTGTTGGTGGTTAAACTTTCCGGTTTTACAGTACTGCAAATACAGCTCTGCTAGATGGAACTAGGGTCCAGCGGATTCTGCCGGCAGAAAATTGGCAGAATTCGGTACTTTTTCTGGTAAGTTTCATGCATGTTTGGTATGTGGATAAAGAAATGGAGCAGAATTCGAGGAATTGGCCGCCATAAGGTTTTAGCCCTTTCCCAAAGGTGCTCGCCCTTTTTGGAAAAGCCCGTTTCTTTCGCCCTTTATTGCGTTTTTTGGTGAATATCGCCCTTTTTGAGCTTTTTTAGCTGAAAAAGTGCTAAAATCTCTTTGCTCATGCATGCGATCACAGTTTCCGAGTGCTCGATGGGCCTTGGCACGCCGCTTTTTTGGGGGGCAGCAAGTTGGTGAAGCTTGTACCCGGTGACCGGTGTAAACAATGCTGTAAAAAGTGGGTTTTTTGAACTTTACTTCCTGTTTTGCCTTTCGTGGTTTTGCCTTTCGTGGACCGATCAATGGAAGAGTGCGTATTCATTTCTCAGCTTGGGTTCATATCTGAACATGTATCATGGCTATGCTTCACTGAAAAAAGAGCACATTTTGCCTGTTTTCACTGAAAAAAGAGCACTTTTTCAACATATTTTGAGGGACGCGAAAAGCACTCAGGCTGCGTTTACACGACAACGATTAAAAACGATTTGCGTTTACACGACAACGAAGTAGGACCTAAACGGAACGAAATCGTTGCGTTTACTACTATCGTTTACACGACAACGCCCGAAAACGATACCTAAACGGAACGAAATGGAAACGCACTTCAAAGTGTTTTGAAACGTTTTCAAAACGTTTTCGTTCTCGTGTAAACGGTGAAAACAGCGAAAACGATTGGAAACGGAGCGCGGTCATGGAAACCATTCCACGCGTGACAATACTTCGCGGGAAATACCTGACCTTTGCGACCACCAGCACGTTCCAACTCCAACTAACGTATTACTTCCCGCCCTTGCGCCAAGCCAGCACGTGCTAACTCCAGCCTGATCGCCCGTTTTCCGTTTTCGTGTAAACGGTTCAAAACGATTTGCCGTTCTCGTGTAACCGGTTTGAAAACGATTCGAGGCCAGCCCGTTATCGTCCCGTTTCGTTCCGTTTCGTTTCGTCTCCGTGTAAACGCAGCCTAAGTGCGAATTAACAGAGCACCTTTGGGAAAGGGCTATAAGGTTTGTATGGTTCTGCCAATTTTTCTGCTTTTCGAGCAGAATCTGCCACCTTTTCAAGCAGCTCCGCCGGTCCCTAGATGGAACTGGCCACAACTGTACGTTGTAGTGTAGTATTTTACCAGTATTAAATGATCTTCCTAATGGCTAATGTTTGTTTGAGAGGAGGTCAACGGACACGAGTCACATGACCTCAACGCATTAGTACTACAAGTACTGAAGTAGAGAGCTCGAGCGGTAGCCCTTTCCCAAAGATGCTCGCCACTTTTTTCGCAACTTTTCGTTGTTTAGGAAGAAATCGCAACTTTCGCAACTTCCTTCATTTTCCGGAACAATTTCGCAATTTTTCTGCAACCTTGGCGCAATTGGCCCCATGGCTAGCCCTTTCCCAAAGATGCTCGCCACTTTTTTCGCAATTTTTTGTTGTTTTGGAAGAAATCGCAACTTTCTTCATTTTCACAAACTACTTCACGACCTTTCCGCAACTGTTTACAGAGAAGCGCCTTGGAGGAGACTACTGAAGTGTCCGTGATGCTCCGCTTCAACAAGAAGCGCTGAAACAGTGCATACTAAAATCATCATGACAAGTGAACTTCTCATGTGGCAGCATGCCGCTATGTCATGAATGCTGTGCAAAGGTTCAGCACAAAGGACAATGACTAATTCCAAGTCTGTTCATATTTTTTTTTTTTTTTTTCTACAAAATCCACATATCTCCAGACACTGGGGTGAATGATGGAGTGTGGTGGTGGGGCCCATTAAGCTCCGCCGACCAGAGGTCTCGGCTTCATAGCTCCATGGACGCACCAAAGGGATATTGGGTGGGGAGGATTAAATTGTAAAAGAAAACAGAAGAAAGAAAATGGAAAGATTGTATTGCTCAGTGAGCAAAAGAATAAGTTGGTGATATGCATTCAGGTGTACATGTACTTCCAAGTACGATTGACTTTACACAGATACATGTACATGTACATTGTACATTGTAGGTGTTTCAGGTTGTTGTGCTGCGCCAGTGTTTTCCATTTCCGCTCCTTTATTGGTTGTTTTGGCATCTTTATGCACATTTCGAGTTGCGACATTAGCAACTATTGAGCTTTTTCTGAAAATATGGATGCGATTTCAGCAACTTTCACTTGTTTTGGCATGGTTGCGAAAAGCATAAGTGGCGAAATATTTTGGCATCTTTGGGAAAGGGCTATCGAGCGGTCATAGAGTTTAACGGGTGTTAGCGGCCGTCGCGAGTTCCCTTCAGGAACGGACACGATAATTTACTTTTTTTCTTCTTTTTATCGAGCGGTCATGCTTGCAGCGACATCATTCGTTCGTAAACGCACTTTGCAACAACACACCCACATTTGGTAGATTTTCGGCGATTCTCAAAGGAACCCTCGATAATCGGCGAAAAGCTTAGCGATTTTTCGATAAGTCTCGTTTTGGGCGAATTTTTCGGTGGGCCAATTTGGGGAAAGTCTACTCTGGGCATGGAAATGCTGTCGTTATTCGCGAAGTTGACGTATTTCTCGCCGGCCGAGCACAGCGAGATAGGCGAGAAATGATTTCTCGCGAAATATTTTCTGTTGCAAATATGGCACCTGGTGTGTTCTTTATTGTCGCTTCTTTTCCTGACTTCTTTAGTCAGTTTTGAGTCTCACCAGTGTCCCTGCCCTCCCACCCTTCATTTCAGTGCATATTATCATTACTTTTTTATCACTTTTTGCCGTGATGTGCTTGCCATGCCTACATGATGCCTACTCGCCTTTGGGGATATACATGTACACCCGGTTTTTTCCTTCACAACTGCGTCCGTCGGCGCGAGGGTTTTTTCCCCGCTAGCTCGGTCCAGAAAAAATAAATCTGACGGTCCCAAGTGGTTCTGCATCATGGCCTATTTCTGCTATCCACCGGCACGCCTATTCTATCTGAGACACTCTGTTCTCAGTCCTTGCTTCCATACCTCACTCATTATCCGGTTCATATCTGGCTGCGGCCAACTACCCTTCACTTTGTTTAGTGTCGCTATTGCTGTCTATGTCTCTGTGTGTGCCAGTGTATATGTACATAATGTACATGTACATGTATGTGGAGCGAGAATGTATGTACATGTACATTGTACTGTCCCTCCAGGAAATCGCGATTCCAGGGATGCAACAAATTCGCGATTTTGGCCAAAACCCGCGATTTCCCGCGTTTTGTTGTTTTCTGGCCGTATTTTTACATTTCCATGCACCTTTCACGCAGTATACAGTGCTTTCCATGATCCTGTACGTACATGTACAATGCAATTCCTCGAATTCTGCTCCATTTCTTTATCCACATACCAAACATGCATGAAACTTACCAGAAAAAGTACCGAATTCTGCCAATTATTTTTCTGCCGGCATTATCCGCATATGCCTAGTCCTTATGCACGATTATGATGTAGACTACATCAAAAGAAATCTTCGCGATCGAGTAGACCTGCCAGGTCAGATCAGACCTCACAATAACGACCCACATTATTATTTTATTCACTAGTTGAGGGAATGCAAAAGGGACAAGTCTGAAAAAAATAAACATCACAGTGACAACAATAAAACTTGCCATGCACACCAAGGCCAAGGCTTACTAGGCCAGAGTTTCACAACACTCATGTATGCATTGTATCGTACTAGTATGCTGTGCACAGAGTCAGTAGAGATAGACTGATTAGACTAGAGCGAGTGTGTAGATTTTTGGCAAGTGAACCACGGTTGAACTAGATCAGGTAGATCTACCCCAGGGAGTAGTATAATAATTATGTACCTACGACTCCCTGATCTACCCAGACATTTATAGGCGAAATACCGGTACTTGTTCGTTGTCACACGGGCACAGGACGCGTAGTCTGGACCAGGGAGTCAGACCCGGGTATACGACTCCCTGGTCTGGACTGTAGCACTTCGCTCTTCACTTTTCGACCTTTACAAAAAAGTACTCTACTTGGAGTGTAGACGTGCAGTGCCAGTGGCAGTGGTCTCCACCGCTTCCCATTCCCTGGCTGCACTGCTGCAGACAGACATGACAGACTGTCAGTGCACAGGCTGCAGTTACAGTGCAGTACACTCATGTACACAGATCTGCTAGTACTGCTACTGTGCTAGCATACTGCTAGTAGTAGAGTCTACTACTACTAGGTGACACTGCACTGCACTGGACTCGTATCGTCGTTGAGTCCTCCGTACTCCAGAGTACCGACTGACTGTACACGCACGGTTGATACAGTCGTGTGCCTGTACTGACTTTCAAAAAACGGCAAGAAGCCGTCTCCTTTACTTCGTGCCGTAGTGTTCGCGTCCTGAGCTCTGCCTGAATGCTGCGAGGATTCTGTAGCTGAGTGCCCTTGTGGCTCGTCTCTGACACTGACGTTGGGACAGCGTCAGCTAGCTAATCGCCATGTCGAAGTTTTCGCCAGCGCGCAAGAGTTCGCTGAAGAAGAAAAAGCACTGGTCCGGTCGAGTGCATGATAGTGTAATATCTCGCAGTAGTGGAGGTTTGTTCAACGTTGTGATCGATGGCGGCGGTGATTACGGTCAATTCCCGTGCATTGGAGAGGTCAAGCAGGATAAGATCGCGTATATCAGCGGTAAGCTGCATCCAGAGGAAATTCTTCTCGAGGTAAACGGACAAGCAGTTTCTGGTATGACTCGCCAAGACGTCTGTAAACTCATCGGAGAATCGCCTGATCCATTGGTGCTTAGGACAGTGAAAACAGGTGAGCGAAGCCATGGACTGTTTGGGATAGGATACCACGCATTTTTCGTCAAGGCCTAGTTGTGTCGTGGTGTGCTCCTTTCTCACTATGTGGCGTTTTACTCTACGCTTGGAGACGTATTGCTGAGATGAGTAGATTGGTGCAACGGAAATCTTGTCCTTTCAAAAACTGCATTGGTGTTGCATTGCATTCAAAAGTGTCTGTTTGCTGTTGACGCTTCATACAGGATCATCCATCACCAAAGAGTTACGACCATACCTTGGTGCCAGGTTCGACAAAGGCACTATGGACCACGACCTTCAGCAGACGATACGGGACAATCTCTACACTCGAACAGTTCCATGTAAGCTCTCGTGGGTAGTGATTCTAGCTCACAGCTCACAACCTTTGTGAGGGCGCAGGCGTATGTGCGTGCGCGCGTGCGTTCGTGTGTGTGGTGGTGTTGTGTGACCCTTTGAGGCTTTGTTTGCAGCCTCTAATCGGAGTGTTTCGTCGTTGCGTATTGTTCTTCCTGTTGTTGGAATGTTGTTGTTGACTTGTTTGCGTCCCGGGCCTGTTCTTGCGCTGCTGCTTGTATCGGACACTCTATTATTTTTGTAGTCTGGGTTTACGTTCAGGCACTCCTAGTAGCCCCGTTGAAGCACGAGCATTTCCTGCGTCGTACTGCTCACTTCCGTAGACAAAGTCAGTTTTTAGCTGTCGACCTGCAGCTGCAATGATAGCTGATGAACGACCCGTGCGTAAATTGCTTCGGAGCTCTTACCCCGATTCTATTTGTAGCGATCAAGTCGGCGCGGCACGATGGCAGGAATGCCGCATGATCCTAATGACTTGCATTGTGTACCATCGTTGCGAGATCATCTTGTTCTGCTCGGAGCGACTGCTCGGAGTCTGAGACCTTGTTCCGATACTCGCGAAGCGTTCCTCTGATGTGTTTCATTTTTCTTCCAACGTCGGTAAATAATACGACATGAAAAGTTTTGCTCTCAGCTCTCCTCGCCTCGGTCGAGCTGACAGAGGTTTGCTGGCTGGGGTAGCCGTTGCTCGCCTCGTTGGCAATCGGCTATCGCAAATACCTCGTGCGCCATTGCGTTGAGGTGCAGCGGCAAGCATGCACTCGCTCTACGATCTCACACAGGCAGCAAAATCGAAAGTGGAACTCAATGATCTCAGAATGTCAGATTAACCTTTTGTTGACTTTCCTAGAACACGGATTAGAGATACTCTACAAATGTAGGAAGTAGTTCGTGTGTGTTGCCGCTGGCATTGTGCAAGTGGGAGTAGTCCGTCTCATCACACCTTGACGAAAAGAAACACCACAAAATAACTGTGTTACTGATGATGTACATGACTGGACTGTACCACTGTCCTAGCTAGCTTTGAAGTTTTGATGACATAATCATTGTAAAGTCTGCTTTCCAAGACTTGGCAAGAGACCTAGAGAGCTAGAGTGCCAGTTATTATGTGCATTGCTTTTTGGTTGTAACTGTAAGTCTGATGGAATGTGCTCCATTGCTGGTTGAGGCGTTTCGTTAGTCTGGCTTCGAATGCATCCTGCCTGCTCAGGCTATTCAATTCACCTCTGGCAAATGATCTGTGGGTTGGAGGACATCTAAGGCGATTGAAGTCTTAGCCACTACACACTTGCATCTATTTTCTCCACCGTTTGAAATGAGTGTGAAAGATACTACTAGCATGCACTCTACAACTACAAGAGTGCATAGCTCTGGTGTTACTTAGTAATAGTAAATGTGGCTCATTGAGATGCTCATCTGGCATCAACTCATTCAATTCCTTCCTATCCTAGATCCTGGCTTTCAGACAGGCTGCATACTTGTAACATGTGCCTGGGTAATTTGTTAGGCAATAATTATTAGGATGGGCAGTGCTGGGCCAGGCCGCCTAGTCTACAAAGTGGCGGAGAGAGTATCAAAAATGCACACCCACCCTCCTTTGTAAAACCTGCTGTCACTGTCAGCTGTCTATGTACTGCTTTGCCAAGCACTTAGGATATGTCAAGGATGGGTGATCATGTGATAACATTCAACCACCACACTTTTACCTATGACTAAGCTTATGCTAGTGATAATAGTAGAATTGTCCTATGTAACTTTTGCTGTAAACAGGAGCTTCCTCTAAAATCTGTGCATTGTCAGCATTTCTCAGAGCAAACATTCCATACAAGGCCAAAATTGGACCTTTATCTTTTCCAGCGATTCCAAATGGCTAGTTACCGGACAACGTGAAAGATGGCAATCTACATGACACATTGTACAAATTATCACACAGCAATGAAGCAAACAAATCTTTTTCCACCGTTACTCAGAGTTTCGTGTGAAACACTCATCAGAGAGCATATTACCAAGACTAGCATTCACTAGAATATAATTATACGCTATTGAAATGTTTTACCTCCATCACCTCTGCCCTCTTTTCTCAAGACCCTCCATAAATATTCTAGTGAATGCTAGTCTTGGTCATCTGCTGTCTGATGAGTGTTTCACACGAAACTTCGAGTAACGGCGGAAAAAGATTTGTTTGCTTCATTGCTGTGTGACAATTGTATTACTGGCTCTGTCCACTGGACATAGAGCACTATACGCAGCCTGAGGACCTTAGACAACTGACACATTGTACATGTATATCATGGTCAGGGTGGGGTCCATTAGATAATCTCGGATTGCTCTTGGCCTGCAAGTCTCGTGCTGGGTGAATTCTTGGTATGTGTTGGATGGTGTTGGCGAGGGTTTGCCAGGAGGGGTTGCCGGATCAGGATAGGCTCCATACTAACAGAGAACACGGTTAAACACTGTCCTTGGTAGATATGCTTGCCTCCTGTGCTGCAAAGTATCAGATTAAGTGCTGCCAAATAATTTTCGCCCAAAATCGGACACCCTTCACCGCCAAGGCTGGCCACATGGTGCGAATTTTTCTCCTCGGCAAATTTTTTACAGAGAATTCAAAATATCGCCTAAAACACCATGAAAATTTGCTTCATTGCCATGGCAACCCCGGAGTTGTCATGAATTTTGTAATGATGAGTGTGGTTGCACACTGATTCTGTACAGACTGTCAGCGTACATGCCATCCAGCCTGATCCAGACATGTTACTTTGCACTTCCACAGCCAAGCGCTAGCCTTTTTAGAAGCAAATGTACAGAGATTTGTGCCTTCAGTTGCGCTGAAAAGTGAAAGTACAGGACTTCTGCATAGGGAAGTAATGATCTCCGACATTTTGTCTGCTTTTTGGACGTTTCCCTTTTCGGACCGGTTTTCGGAAGAGCCTTCAAAAATCGGACACTGTCCGAAAAATCGGACGGTTTGGCAGCACTGCAGATTTGCCTTGCACATGCATAACAGACTCAGTGTGTTAGGATGGTGCTATGCAGCTACACACACAAGCATCTCTCGAACAGATGAAGTTGTCATCCTTTCGGAATGTAGTTGGCCATGTTGATGCATGGCTATGTGCATAGCTGTGATGGTGGTATGCAGGTAACGTACAATTACGTTACAGCCGAAGAGCGGACATGCTAGAATTTCACCAAGCGCAGCATAGCGATATATGCAAAGTGACACTACAATACATGAAAATAGGAACCGTCCAGGCTACAAAGGCTGACCCCCACCCCTAGTTCTTAGGCACCCGACAGAAACTCTATGTTATACTCTCAAACAGGGTCATATTGTGTTACTGTTCAATCTGATGTGCACTTGTCCAGGTACAACTCGAGAACCACGTCCTGGCGAAACACCGGGCGTTGAATACAACTTCTTGACGGTTGATCAATTCATGGTGCTGGAGAAATCAGGCAATCTGTTAGAAAGTGGCTTGTTCGACGGAAACTACTATGGAACGCCGAAGCCTCCACATGAGCCACCGAGTCAGGACCCGAGGCAACCTCCGGGCCAACAGGCCGAACAGCTATCTGCATATCCAGGTTAGTGTGATGCATTGCTTTGATGAGGAACACCTGCTGCACTGGACGAGTAGTTATCCCAATGATGTTTACACAAGGCTAGGCAGGGCATCACACACGGTGCGACCATGGTCGTGCCACTTTTCGTCCAGGATGGTCCGCCCAATTCATCCAGAAAAGGAATAATAGAGCACTCACTAGTGGGCCGAAACATCCGATTTTTTCCCCAGGGGACACCGTCAAACCCCGGCTGCACCACTCCACACTGCCCTGTAGCACCCCTGCTAGGCTACCGTTGCCTTACTAGTAGTGCTGCTGCAATGGGACAAAGCTATGCTAAGTAACTTGCATTTTGTATAGCTATCAATGTCCTTGTGGAAATATCTGATGTTTGTTGAGGAAAGATCAAATATGGCAGGGGGAGATTTGATGGCCACTCTGTACAAGTTTGCGAATGTACACAATAACAGGACCCGATCGTCAGGCAGTGAATTGCAATGCTATCGTGTATGAAGTATCTTAGAAATGTATTCTTAGACATCCTGACACAGTGTCTTGCCAGCTTGTGTCATCAGCGTGCATACTCAGTATTGTTTTCTTCCGAATATGTTGTTGCACATAGGCGAGGAGCATCTGAGTTTTGGACAAAGTGTGAACGGTTTGCCCGGTGAACAACGCTACTACATGCCCCAGCGACGGCCAGGTGTGGCTCAGGTGAACAGGAACCTGGGTCCCTTGCCCAGGAACTGGGAAATTGCGTACACTGAAGGTGGTGATAAATATTACATTGAGTAAGTGAGCAGCTATGCCCAACTACTAATAGTGATGGATGTGTACGTACTCAATATTCTGAGCTGTCTTTCACAGCTTCAAAGCGTTTGGCAAGGAGAAAGCTGCCAGATCAGAATTTTCACTGTGCTTAATCTTATCCCATGTCATCTTAGGGGTCAATTGAACTGAGTGATACGTGATATGGGAGCCGCCTGGGGGGGGGGGGGGGGGGGGTGACCAGTCATGTGGTGTGTGGTGTGTGACGTCCTGTCACCCCGCCCCCCTTGTGCTCCTGGTCACATGGCATGGGAACATGCACATCACACACAGATAAAGAGCTGTGGACCCTGGCTGTGCTACGTATATTGCACAGTTTGGGAAATTGAAGTCATCTCCATGTATGTCTCTCTTGCTATGCTCCCTTCATACAGGGGAGTTCCCTTGATTGTGCTGCAGGGGGGGGGGGGGGGGGGGAGGATGGCCAGCATGTCTGAACTGAACTACATGACTGTATACCTGCTATGCTTTGATGCTGATTGAATTTGATTCATTGCAACAGCAGTGTTACTCTGGGATGTGCATCATAGTAGGTGATTTGGCGGTACTGATTCTGCATAAAGTTTGCCGCTGAAATTCAACGGTTTACGTGGTATTGCTCCCCGCTCCACACGGACCATCGGGAAAATGTACGGGGACCGGGAGGGGGGGGGGGGGGGGCTTGGGGTAGGGGAAACAAACAGTACACCCATTTTTTCCATGTTCCACTATTGCCTCGTCCCAAAAAGGTGCAAAGTACGGGTACACAGAGCACCCGGAACGATCGATTTGTGGCCGAATTTTTGATGTGTGAATTTTTTTTTTTATACCGACAAAATAGGAGAAAAAAATTACGAGGAGTGGTGTGCTATGAGAGTAAGGGGGGGGGGCGCACCATCAGAGTAGGCGAGGGGGGTTGCGCCCACCCCTTTGGTAGAACACTGGTCCAATTGTAGATGTGGGAGCGCGGGAGCTCAATATGTTGTACAAAATATCCTGCTGTTCACTGCAGCCATACAGCTGGAACAACACAGTGGCTGGACCCACGCGTTGCACGCATGCAGAAACGTCTGCCACTTCAATGCAATGATGATGGTAGGTGTATTGCAAGGATGTGATTTTATGGCTGGATTGGTTTGCAGACTCCTTACGCTTTCCAACGGCCGTAAGATTGTTGGAAAGCACGTGTATTTGTGCGTCACAATGACACTAATGGCAGTCCCGTGCATTTCTGCGCAAAGCCGACTCATCCCGACGTGGTTGCTTTACTTTGCAGTGGCCTACTTTCTTGTCCGGAACAGATGCTATTGCCAGCCTCTGGCTATGCTGTTCTGAGTGGTTCTGTAGTGTGTTTACGGGTGGGGCACAAAGGCGCGTCCCTTTTGTATGATGTTGCAGAGTGGTTTGGATTGATTTTACACCCATGGTTCTTTGTTTTGTTTTGTTTTTGTGTGTTTTTTTTTGCTGTTCATGTTGTCCTTTGTTGCACTTTCTGTGTTCAGAGCTTCCACATGGTTGGGATCGTGCTGATGATGTCAAGTATGGTGTGTACTACATCGAGTAAGTGTTGCCATAGTGAAATAAAGGTGTGCTTTCATGTGTGCATGTACATTAAAGCATATTGTGATAAAGGCTCGAAAGAAAACGTCCCACTCTGCATTACAATACTAGGCCAATAGAAATGGCTCAGAAATGGCTTGAGGTCAGTGATATTGTAGTGGAAATTTCCTGAGACAAGTAAAATCCACCAAAATGCATGCATGATTATTTGCGTACGTATCAGCAGTACCGTCTTGCAAACCTGCATGTGTCCTTGTTTACAGCTATATCAATGGAAGGACGACATTGGAGAATCCCGTAGCCAGGGCCCACAGGATTGGGTCTAATGATATCTGGGCCGCAGAGCGCGGTGGAGCTGATCAACAAGCACCGCCACCACCTCCCCCGCCACCTGGTATTGACGGTGCTGAACAGCTATCACCCAGTACACAGCAACCACAGCAGGTAAAGCACCTTGTCCACGAAGTCTTCGGTAACAACTAGTGAATAACAACATGTTACAATACTGTATAGTAGTGGTCAAACGAATGTGCTAAACAGCGAATCGAACCTTCTCTGAATGTTCCTAACGAATACCGAACGAATGTCGCCCGTTCCATGATTAAGAAATCAGTAAGAAATTATAGCTACCAACCAGTATGTAACACTAAAACTTTTGTAAAAGGCACCCAAATCATAAGTGAAGTTGCACACTGCAAGTCTGCAACAGAGATTGTAGATGCCATGACTCATTTATGAAGTGGACAGTGATGGTAATGTACCCCTCCGTTCGTCTGCTTGTCCACAGGTCTGTAGTCAGCGCCATGGAGCTGGCCTTTTCAAGGTTCTCCACCTAACCACTGCACCAGCAACTTCAGGCCCGCGACGTGCTTCCGCTGAATTAGCTTTGTCACTTGAGTTGCAGGTAGCCAGGCTCGGGGTAGTTCATGAGCAAAAGGAACCCCCGCACCAGTGACTACGCTCACAGGCCGAAGATCTCTGCACACAAATCCCACCAATCGGTCGTCGCATCCAGAGCCTCAGAGGATCTAGCCGCTGGCACTTTCTTTGCCTTGAAGAAGGCAGTTATCCCTTCGTCCTTTTTCGGTATCGCCCCTGCGCCATCCAAGTCGACATGGTGAACGTCCTTCAGATGGTTACGTAAATTCGTTGTTCCGCCATGATCTGCCAAGTCTTTCGGCGGCTTGCACCGAGTACACGTAGCAATATTGTCGTGAGAATATAGATAATATTGTCAGCCGTTATCTCTATTCCAAAATCCCATACGGCAGAGCGCCTACTCTTCTCGGCCATGACGAACGTTGGGTGGATTTGATGAAGAAAGACTCAACGACGGCTCTCAGCAATAGTTATTATTTCAGACAGACCGTCGAGTGTTGTCACGACTAAAATCGCCTGTGGCACTGCACTTCCAGTTTCACAGCCGGGCGCGGTGCGCGCATGCAACGTTCAACCCAGACTAGAGTTCACTGCGCAGACTAGACCTACCGGAGTCTCTGGTCATGAAGACAGCGCGGCACGGCTTCAAAAGTAGACGTGTGTACGTGCTTGCATGCATGAAAATCGCTGCTACAAGTGCAGAGTTCACAGTTTTGTGAGTTACGATATTCGTTTGGGCGGTCAACTTGGCATTCGAATGTCGACTCGAGAACGAACGTTCGAAGCTTCTCAGCATTCGTTTGACCACTACTGTATAGCAGGAAATTTTCAGACGGAATTTATTTTCGGACGATTTCGTACACAGCCTCTTTTGTACTAGAATTAATTCCGTACTAAAATTTGTTCCTGTGAAGTAGTTATGTACACTATACATGTACATGTACATGCGTGCCGCATGCAAACACGTGCATTTAGCATGAAGCACTGTACGAAAATAAAATCCGTACGAAAGGTCGAAAATCGGCTTTGTCCGAAAATATTTTCGTCCGAAAATTTCCTGCTATACAGTACATTTACCTTTATGTAGGAATCATCATCGCTGAGTGTCATCCCCTAGCTGGTGCGATTTGATGAGAGTGAGACAGAGAGAAAGAGAAGAGAGAGAGAGAGAGAGAGAGAGAGAGAGAGAGAGAGAGAGAGAGAGAGAGAGAGAGAGAGAGAGAGAGAGAGAGAGAGAGAGAGAGAGAGAGAGAGAGAGAGAGAGAGAGAGAGAGAGAGGGAGAGAGAGAGTGACAAAGAGCGAGAGCAAGAGAGAAAGACAGTGCTAGATAAGGGGCCTAGGTAGCTATGGCAAATGTGGGCACGCAAGTAACTACCCTGGCCAACGGAACGAAAGGTGTCAAACGGGGTGCAGGTCAGCTGGTACAAGGATGTATGGGAATGATAACCTAACAATAGCATGCCTTCTTTGAATAGTAAGATTATTTTAGAAACGATTTCATTCTATCAGCCATACAAGCATTGCTGTACGATTGCACTGTCGTGATTGGTGTTGCCTGTGTGTATGTGTGTGCTTGTGTTTGTATGTGTGTGCTTGTGTTTGTATGTGTGTGTGTGTGTGTGTGTGTTTTTGTTGTTGTTTCTTTATTTTACTTCACCATATGAACAGGCAAGACTGCCTTCTCACCGGGGCTATTGGCCCACGGCTCTCACAATATGATGAAAATGTTTAAAATGTTTATGAAGAAGAAAGGAAAGGAAAGAAAACAGTGTGTGTGTGTGTGTTTGTGCCAGCTAGTTCGGTTGGTGGGTACACTTATGCTGGATAGTGTTGGGTCTGTTGCCAACGGGCTCGGCCACTTGAAGGTGTAATGTTGTACCTGCCACCTTTTTTTGGTTCCAGGGTTCATATACTTTCTATTTGAAGTATACATACCTGTTAACCATGGACTGCTTCTGGCTAGATTAACTCTTGTGTAATCAATGGTGCTAGTGAAGCTTATATCAGACCCAATCTGATTTAGCCACCCACACTAGTAGCAAGTATTACCTTCACTGGGGGCAGGGGTGACTGCAGTTGGATCCCTGGACGGATACCCTGATGCCGTCAATCCTTTTTCTGCACCTTGTCCTCACCCACTTACTGAGGTGTGGTGAGCCCATAAGTGGGATCATTTTCAAGTCCACCCAGAGTTTTGGGGATTTCAGGGGGTGTCGGCCGTTGGGCGGTTCAATAGCCAATTGAGTCATCTTTCCAAGATTCCTTTTGAGTCTCTCTCCCCTCTCCCGGGGAGACCCATGTGACCAGTTTTGGCAGTGTGCAACAAGTACAAGTACAAGTACAAGTGTGTGTGTGTGTGTGTGTGTGTGTGTGTTTGTGTATGTATGTGTGTATGTGTGTGTGTGTGTTTGTGTGTGTGTGTGTGTGTGTGTGTGTGTGTGTGTGTTTGTGTATGTATGTGTGTGTGTGTTTGTGTATGTATGTGTGTATGTGTGTGTGTGTGTGTGTGTGTGTCTGTGTGTGTTTGTGTGTTTGTGTATGTATGTGTGTATGTGTGTGTATGTACAGGCTGACTGGCAGAACTACCAGCCACAGCAGCAGGAGAATCGGTCCGATATGCTAGAGCAGCTGCATGCTGAAGGAGAGGAGCAGTCAGCACGGCTTAATGGCATGGTGTGTAGCTTCACTTTGTTGATTGGTTCACGGTTTTTTCCATAGCACCTTCATCAGTGACAAGTGATAGATCACCAAGTGAACTGTAGTGCATTTGCCGAATGTGGGCCCATAGGTTTTTCACAGTCTCACTTTATTCTAATTCAAGATGGTGAAGTCGATGATGTATATAGGTCAGAAATATGACAGCCGTTGTTTTAAGCCTAAGATGAATTGAATGCGGTGTAAATTGATCAAGGTAAGTGCAAAATGTATTTTCTTCAGATACAGATATTTGAGAGATCGCGTACAATATACATTGACACAATACGTACGATGTTTTTGCAACACATGGTTCCGCTGCTGTTTCTCTTCTGGAGATCGCCCGCATGCGTGCTATGCCGCGTGAATACAGCCTCTCCAAGCTGCTCGATCCTGGGCCATCATGGAGAGTGTGTCAAGATTGTGCACGTACATGTAGTTTCAGTGTATCTGGGGCCCCGATTTGGCGAATGCACTAAACGTGTGCATTAGCGCACAGTAGATGAGCTTAGTCGCCTTGCACCACCCCTGGAACTACCCATAACGCAATCTAGAACGCTAACATTTGGAGAACAGGTGTGCAAACATGTGCATGTATGTCTATCCTCTGCAGTAGATTCTGTAGGGTGGTCTGGGAATTGGACCCATGCCTTTAATTGCCAGGTGTACACGCAGTTAATGAACGTTATGATTGTCTGCTGGTTGTAATAGGCTATTGACGCTCGCCTAAAAAAGCCAGCAAACGGGTTTGGATTCACGGTGGTCGGTGGTCAAGTGCCTCGGGATTTGAAGCAGATCAAGAGCATAGTCCCCAACAGCGTGGCTGCCCAGTGCGGTCGATTGCAAATTGGGGATGTGCTGGTCCGTATCAACGATGTCAACGTCCTCCTCTTCACTCATGACGATGTAAGTAACTGCTTCTTCCGGTTTTCCTTTCTGCTTATTACTCCGCCATAATCCTTTAAAACAAATTTATTCCACCTCCCCCACTTGTACTCTCTGGCCTACCCCTTAGTACAATGTTTCTTTTACTCTATCTCTGCTATAAACCAGCTCAGAGGCTCAGAGTCAGAGTTCCCTAACTCCAATACATACCGCGAGCACACTTCTTTTATAACAATTTTTAAACACATGGAAAGGTACTTGGCTCGCCTGCATTGCTTGGGATGTTCCTTCTTGGCTTGGGTATTCTTTGTCTTTGGGGATCTTTTCAATACGAAGACAAACCTATAATGAGCATGATTGAATTTTACCATAGTGGCAAGCATTGAAAGTTACACTTGTTTGTTTTTTGAGCTTTTGTATACGAGAATGGTCATCACCTCTTAAATATCTCATCTACTTGTAAGTCATTGCATACATCTTGCAAAACGAAGTAGGCTAGCGTAATGGGCTTTTGTCCTCTCAGTGATCGTAATTTCATGGTGTCCATGCTTTGGCTTTGCGACAATCGTAGGTTGTTCGTATGTTTCAAGACATTCCCATTGGAGGCGACGTTGTGATTGAAGTTCGCCGCGGAGTTCAACAGCCACCGGGTGAATTTACACCGCATCCCGGACATGGCCAGCAGAATTTTGACGCAGGTACACTGCACGTTCAGTTATCAACAATGTAGTTCTTGTATTAAGAACCGACTTCTGCTTTAGAACCATCCGGATGCAGAGTCTGTTTAATTTTTCATTTGTTGGTGTTGTGTTCTAATCATTCACCATGCCACCGTGAATTGTATTCTGTTTGCCAGTAAAAGAGCCTTGTGATACATGCACATGAATCCTGTCATAGAACACTAACTGTCTTAGTGATAGCATGTACTGGTGGGCACCAATAAGATCTTTCAATATTATTGATCTTACTTGATCTTACTTGATCTTCTGCAAGTACTTCGAATAGGCCAGATTTCAAAATGTGCACGCAAGTACACTACCACTGCTCTTCACAGCCGACCGTCAAGGACACACCAATTTTCAAAATGGTCAATCACCGTTATATCAACTATCACCTGTTATGGTTGCAGACCTTCTCTCTCCTATCCATGTGATTGTGTTGTGCAGGACATGATGCTGGAGTGGCTCCTATTCCACCGCGTGCTGTAAGTGTCTTCTATGCTCCTTGGTTGATTTATTTACTTTGGATGTACGTTGAGTTGGCGGACTCAACCCTTCGAGGCACTATCACATCCATGTTGGTGTGGTTCTGTTTTCATGACTGTACGCTGCAGCCCACGAATATGGCCCGTTTCGAGCCATCACGCAGTGGTTCTGATCGTCTTGTCGCACACGTTGTGAAGGGCCCGTTTGGTTTTGGCTTCACGATTGCGGACAGCACGATTGGCCAGACGATAAAGCAGATTCTGGATGCACCGCGGTGTGAACAGCTACGGGAGGATGACTGGCTGATTGAGATCAATGGCCAGTCTGTGGCCGGTGGAACGCACAACGATGTCGTCACAATCCTGAAAGGCTGCGAAAAGGGCAGCTCAGTGGAGTTCCTGGTGGAACGAGGTAATGAACCATGCATTCTGCTTGATTTCCTACCGATAGAATATATCATTGCATTGTTGTGAGGAATATCCAGGTATGTGTGAAGTTACTTCTTGTTGTTGCCTGCAATAGTACATAAATCTAGGCATACACTGCAGTTGTCCAGATACAGTCAACTTCGCTTATAACGACACTCGGCGGGGCATCAGAAAAGTGTCCTTATTCGCGAAGTGTCGTTATACCCGAAGTCTCATTATATGTGTCACAGTTGGATGGGACTTTGCTCTGGGCATGAAAATTATGTCGTTATTCGCGAATTGTCGTTATATCCGCAGTCGTTATTAGCGAAGTTGACTGTAGCAAAGAAGATAATGTATCCCTTCCCTTCCTAAATGCATATCTCTTTCTTTGGAGAAATGTGCAAGTATTGATCCAGTGTTTTTCTTGTTGTTTTTGTTGTTTTCTGCTGAAGTTACTGGCGTTCCAGTTACTGGTGGGGAGGTGAGTTGCGTCTGTATGACCCTGGTGGTTTTTGAGACCATGCCCAACGCCTACGTTGCAATGAGATCTACAGTTGCATGTCATGCAGGCCTTGAAACAGAGCTGTGAGAAAGCAATGCAGTGTTTGCCAAAAACATCACACAACAGCCAGTACTAGGAGCAAGACTACATAAGAGCGTAATGAAGTCACTATGCCATCTTAAGTATTGACTGCGTTGTTTTTACATGGGTTTTTTCAAGACCACTTGGCTGGCATCTCCCCCCCCCCCCCCCCCCCCCTCTCTCTCTCTTTTCCTTGCCCAAGCTCTTCAACATATTCGAACTGTGGACTCCGCTTGTTGCTTGTTCACTTCAACACAAACACACAGATAATAGTTATACCAGTAGCAAAAAGTATCACACATATTGCCTCACTTAATTGCTGGTGCAAGTAAAACATTTCCTATTCCAGGTGTGTGTGTTGCTTTTCCATTTTTCTCTCTCTTTATCTCTCTCTCTCTCTCCCTCTGTCTCTCTCTCTCTCTCTCTCACTCTCTCTCTCTCTCTCTCTCTCTCTCTCTCTCTCTCTCTCTCTCTCTCTCTCTCTCTCTCTCTCTCCCTCCCTCCATCCCCCTCCCTCCCTCCCTCCCTCTCTGTCTCTCTCTCTCTCTCTCTCTCTCTCTCTCTCTCTCTCTCTCTCTCTCTCTCTCTCTCTCTCTCTCTCCCTCCATCCCCTCCCTCTCTCCCTCTCTCTCTCTCTCTCTCTCTCTCTCTCTCTCTCTCTCTCTCTCTCTCTCTTTCTTTCTTTCTTTCTTTCTTTCTCTCTTTCTCTCTATGTATCTATGTATTGATCTATCTATGGCTGTTTCTCATGTGCTCTCTCTCTCTCTCTCTCTCTCGCTCTCTCTCGCTCTCTCTCTCTCTCCCTCCATCCCCCTCCTTCCCTCCCCCTCTCTCTCTCTCTCTCTCTCTCTCTCTCTCTCTCTCTCTCTCTCTCTCTCTCTCTCTTTCTTTCTTTCTTTCTTTCTCTCTTTCTCTCTATGTATCTATGTGTTGATCTATCTATGGCTGTTTCTCATGTGTTCTCTCTCCCTCTCTCCCTGTCTCCCTGTCTCCCTTTGACCCTACAGTCCAACATACCAGATGGACAGCAGCAAATCAGGAGATACCAGCCAGGCAACGAGCCAGCTCATTTCAAGCCTAGCCAACCACCAGTTTACCCAGGTCCGTCAGGACCTGTTGCAACGACTGGAGAAGCATCGCATGATGCCGCAATGATGCGTGGCGGAATGGATCAGCGCCTAAATGATACGCAGGGTTATCCACAAGCCGTGCCAGCAGCAGAGGGTGCTGTGACGTATTTAGAGATTGAGCTGCATCGCCAAGTCAGCGGATTTGGCTTCCGAATCCTGGGCGGTCTGGAAGAAGGGTCACAGGTTAGTGGAGTTGCAGGCACAGTTTTCATCTGATTCGAAAAAGATGGTATTGATCATCGGAGAGTACTGTGGGTTTCCTGATTTGAATCAAGGAATGTACTACACCGTTGAAACAGCCCTTCTTCCCAGAAGATGCTCGTGCAAGTTCATTTTACTCTTTTCTATGGCATGTGTAGAATTCCATCCTTCCCTTGGATGTTCCCACTGCAGACGTTCAGGTGGATTTTATCTGAGTTACAATCAGATTACGTTTTTGAATGAAACTGGTGCTCATCTCTCATCACAGTTCACGTACATATTATCTGACACCAAGGATACTTTTCTTGTACTGCTAGATTAAAACATGTAGAGTGTGTATGTGTGAAAGATACTTATTCTGGTTGACACAGTGCAAAGTCCAGGTTCCATGACATGCAAGCTAAGATGAGTTTACCTGCCATGAGAAAAATTTAATGTCTTGTTTAAAAGGGGCTTTGTTTGCTGTTGAACAGGTGATGGTTGGGACAATAGTTCCCGGTGGCGCAGCGGATCTGGACGGCCGCTTGCAGGTTGGAGATGAGATTGTGGAGATCAATGGGCAGTCCGTTTTGAACGAAACACACCGCAATGTTGTCTCGCTGATGAGTACAGCCGGTCTCCACGGTCGTGTCTCTCTTGGTATTCAGCGTAGGCCGGGAACACAGCAAGGTCAGTAGCAGGATACCTCTCTCATACCCGTAATATACAGTAGCGACTGCATACAGCTACCACCCCCCCCCCCCCCCCCCCGGTGCGTCTGCCCAGTGTTGACTCCGAGACCCACGGTCGGACGAGCTGCCCAGGCCTCACCACCACTGCCGTTTCCGTGCTGCCTTCTCGATACATACGTATGTATACTGTATCATGTGCACATTCACATGTCTGAAGGTTTGTGGTTTTTTCAATAAAAATAAAATAAAAAAATACTTTCAATTGAAATCTAGCTTGAAGTTGTTTCTCTTTTTGCTGCTTGAAATACTACAGTACTGCGCAATGAAATCCGATCGAGTCACTCGAGTATGCGCTGGGCGTTGTGCAGCCCTAGACCTGCAAACACTGGGCTACGAAACGTTGCAGGGCGCAAACGTGACTCGCGTGATCGGATTTCATTGAGCAGGACTGTACTCTAACTGTGTTGTACACAGTCCACAGTCCTACATCGCCACAAAGAACTGCTTACCAATCAACTAGTTCTGGTTTCTGTGCATTTCCATTGTCCTCAGCTGGACCTGATCAGATGCAGCAGCAGATGCAGCAACAACAACAAATGCAGCAGCAGCAGCAGCAACAGCCACAAAACCATCAAGTACAACAGCAGCAGCACCAACCACAGCAGCAGCAGCAGCCGCAACAAATCGGACAACATATGCTGGACAGCCGGTCACAATTTTCTGACAAAACGTCCCGCGATGTCATACTAGAACGTCGGCCAAATGAAGGATTTGGTTTCGTTCTTCAATCCCATGTCCACGAGGCAGGTTGCAGCATATGTAAGTTTGGAAAGAGGATGTTAACATCAAAGTTTTATATCTTGGAAGAAAGTGTCACGCAGTCTTCTTTCGAACTCCCATATTTGATTATCTACTCGTACTTCACCATTCTGGATTTACCATAGCTGTCAATTTGCGGGTGGATCCAAGGTGATAGCTTCATGCCTCGTTGTATCTCACAATGATAGTCTCGGATACCTCTTGATTTAGGATTCTGCCTTTGCGGAACCCTCAAATAATAATGATAGACAACAAAAAGCATTGTACTGCAAATAGAAGCATAATTATGTTAGACCTTACCGTCAATGGCATACAGTACAGTTGGGATAACTTTTACTCAGAATGATCGTTTCACTGCTTGCATCATTCTGTTTTCCTTGCACACTCAGGTCGCCTTGTTCCAGACAGTCCGGCGGAGCTCTGCAACAAGTTGAAGATCGGCGATCGCATTGTCGGTGTGAACGGTCGCAATGTCCTGGGCCTGACGCACAGCGGAGTTGTGGCCACTATCAGAGATGCCGGCCTAAGAGTAGTCCTGCAGATTGGCTTAACACGAGGAGGTACAAGAACCACTATGAAGCAACATGCTCACTCTTGTTCTTTAGTGAAGGCATAAAAAATCTATACGTCACCTGGCATTATGGCGTGGGGCTTTGCAGACTATTGCGAGCGTATCTTGCAGCAGCCATTGTCCTAGCCTTTTCCATTGATTGGAACTTAATCTGTTAATTTGCATGCTTTGGAAAGACTGCTGGATGAATAGTACCACATTGTTGAGTTGTATTCTGGCTTTGCTGTGGGTTGTTTGTCTTTTTCTGCTGTACAGACCAGTCCTCAGCGCATCACTCTCCGGTGAGTATTCTATGTAATACGGTCGTCTCTTTTTACATTCAGCTCTCATTAATAGACTGAATGTATGCTGGTGGCAGACCATCAGTACATGCCAGAACAGTATAGTGACTGGTGGCAACAAAACTACTGTAGCTGCCTGGCCATGGGTATAATCACCACAGAGTACTGTAATCGTTAAAGGTTTTTTTAGTTTTTTATTATGTACCAATTTTCCGCAACACTGGCCGAAGTGCTCAGTAGTTTGCGAGTCCGAACATTTCACTCGATAAGAAAAAAATCTATGCAAAATCGCTGGAATTTTGTTGCGCCTATATGAGATAGGCGTAAATAGAAGACCAGCCCCTATTCCAGACAGTACCGGTTAGGGACTGTATCTACGCACAATCTC